GGCTTTTCCAGTAGAACCAAATTAATATTGTTCTATGAGCAGGTGAGGGTGAAGGGTCGGCAGGTTTAAATACTTATGTTTTGGTATGCCACCATAATGTTTGACCACTGGTACATTCTTTGGGCTGCAGTCCTCAGCACTGTTATTTAACTTCCTGTTTCACAAGTTACTGGTGCTTGAAAGCACAAGACTGCAAGGAGAGTGTTGGTTAATTGTTGCCGACTGCAGCTCTGAGAATATTTTAAGGTTCAGTTTGTCACATTAAAAAAAGCATTATTGTAACAAAGCTGCTCACATTAGGAAGCTATTTCTGTGCAACTGTGTCAGCATTAATTGTGTAACTAGAATTAACCCCCTATAGATCCCTGCCATGAAAAAGTTATATAATGGGGAATATCATGAGAAGTGTTTTGTTTTGTTTTTAAATTCGTTAGTACATTTGATTTTTACTGGCTACTTTAAGAGGGAAAACTTATTAAAACTTCTAGTGATCCATGCCAGGTAATGGAAACCCTATGGAGAAACACCTTCTTCAGTTTCTTTTAGATCAAATTCAAAGAGTAACCAAACAACAGAGGAAAAAAGCTTCCTTCCTGGTGTAATATCCAGGAGGTTTCTTTCTGATGCAGACTGCCTGATGGCTCCATCTTCAACTCTGCAAGCACCACACAGGTACAGAATTTCCATTCAACTTAGTGTGGCCAAGACTTGTTCACTGCTGGGAAGAAAACCTTGTTTTTTTAAACAAGATGGCATCTCGCCCACAAGAAAATATGAATGCAGTCATGCACCAAGTTTATTACACCAGCCCTCTTAAAATGAAGGTGTAAAAATGCATGCATGTATGATTTTAAAATGGTAAGACTTTTACAGCACAAAATAGGAGTTATCTTATTTTCCATTTTCCACGCATCCAGGCTGTGTGCTATGATAGGACCATAGTACATCAGTGACAAAATGAGTTCTGATGCCATGGTGATCCCCTCTAAGTTAACCTACCTGAGGTTCCCTTGTGTATCCTTACTTCAGATATTCTGTATCTCCCTTCCTCCTGGTGGGGGCACTAAAAACAAAACATACACAACCTAACCCTTTGCTCAGCTTACAGGGACAAATTCCCTGCTGCCATGGTTACCATTCCAACTTCTCTTGTGGAACTAGAAATAAAAAACTTCCCTTGAGAACAGAAGGCTATAATGTTAGCTCTCTCTCCCTCCCCTCACTCATCATTGTTAGCCACTAAATCAGCTACATCTGGCATATTTAATTTGGACTAAATAAAATGTCGCTAATTAAAAAGATGCCGAACAAGCAGTACATGACATTATGGAAATAGAGAGCATAGTATTTGAACACAGCCCATTAGGAATTGAAAGGGCCAGCTAGTTTTCCCTAAGAGCTCAGGGATAAAGAAGGCTAAATGGTTCCTCTATAAATTCTTGTTTCTGACAGCACCGTCCAAAAGTCCTGCCTTAGAATCTAGGTATATGAAGGTCTTTAAGTGTTCTCTCCTGCAGCAGTTGTGCTCATAAGCATGGCACTAATTCAGTCCAATGCTGAGAGCATTGTTAGTTTGGCAATGCAAAATCCTTGTTATACCTTTTTAGTTGGATGCCTTTGTTAGAGACATAAGGAGTGGAATGTTTTGCAGAACATTAATACAGGATGTTGCAGAATGCTCACATGGTCATGTAGCCTTCTCTGAACCCTAGAGAGCTGAGAGAAGTCTCTCTCCAAGCTATATTTTAACAGTCTATTTTGCAATACTGTGCCTCACAATGCTATCGTAATCTTCCTCCTTCCTTCAGAGCTGTTTTCTATCAGTTATGTTCAAGGTTATCCTCCCCAGTTTCATTTAAAGTCTTGGATCCATTTCCCAGTCTACCAAATCTCATATATCCTGGTATCTGTATTTCACTCTAGTTATATGCATCAACACTACGTGTTGTCAAAATAATACTTTTTGCTGATGGCAGCTCCTTTTAGAATCTGCAGCCATACAGCCTGATAAAGTTCAGCCCATTCTCCTGGGTGGCATTTATACCTGTGCAACTAAACCACTAGTCAGGACACTTCCACCCATTAAATAGCTTTTCAGAGCCAAACCCCTGCCTATGTAGGCACATACAAAGATCATTTCATATCCAAGAGCTTGTCTCCATCCTCCATACCCTACTGGTAAAGCATCAAAGCTAAAGATGACCATCATTACAATATGGAAGGGAAACTAACTTTGAGATTCCACAAGAGGGTTCCACCATCTCCTGACTATTCAAACAATCCATAAGTAGTAAAGGGGAAAAACAAACAAACAAAAACACTTGCATGTTTGTTTCATATTCTTTCCTTCAGTGTCCCCAAGATTAAGGAAATCTTGTGAGAACAGAGCATTTTAAAACTAGTATGTTCCCAGTCTCAACTAAAGAGAAATAAAAAACCCCAGAACAAACAAAAAACAACCTCCCCTCTTCCCCACCCAATGCACGCCTTTGTTTACACATGAGTATAAACTGCCATGCCAGATACCCAAAACATTTTGCTTGACATATTTTCAGGTTTATTCTTACTGGGACTCAAACAAGCTTCCTAAACCCAAGACAAATTCCTCCAAAACTGAGATTTAATGGACATGTTGACTGATGCTCAAATGGTTCATTGTAGTAACAGCTGTACATCAGCTACCAGGTGTTTCATTCTGAATGCTACACTGAAGAACTGCTCGTTTTAGCAACACAATATTTATTGGTGTATTAGCGTTGGAGTATAATCTCCACAAGTCTTATTAACTTTAATTAAGTTAACATATCATACCATGCACAGTACACCATGTAACCATACTATTTCACAGTCCCTTTCCCCATACTAATTTAAACACCCATCCCTTCCAAATGTATTAAACACCGTGTATAAAAGTAAAAATTTCAAATACCAGATAGAGACGATTTGAGCTCCCTAGCTACTTACGTTATGAGTAGATGTCTCATTTAACCCGGGACTAATTATCTTGGAGTTTGACCTGAACTATAAAAAGGAGCAGCACAGTCATTTACACGCACCCTTCCAAGCTACATTGCTGCTCCTTTGCCAGTGAGTGGCCAGTGAAAGCATAGAGCCTGACCAGCTTGTCCCTGGAATGAATAACAATCATTACAAAAACACAGAACAGGATGTCCCGGGGGGAAAAATATTAGGACATTTTATCTGGAATAGTTCAGAGGGACTTGAAAAGGGACAATATACATGATCCTGGGACAAAAGGCTTTCTCCCAGGACAAACAAAATATCTGTTTACAGCCAATAGGACAGAGACATCTGAGAAGAGCACTCAAGTACCCTTGTGGCAGGGGAAGAAGAGAAAGTATTAAGTAATTTTACTGTTAACTTGTACATATTTTAACCATTGAAAAACAAACCAGCCTTCAACCAAAATTGGAAGCAAGTGAATAAGTAAGCATTTTTCCATTTCATTACAAACTTACTCCAGCATGTTTAAAATATATGTGAGCATACCTACTTATATGTTGTTACACCTTAAATAAAAACATTAAAGCCCACTATAAGTTGATCAGTTGGAGGATCCAAACATAAATCAAGCTGGCTTTCATTAGTACCTTGCTAGGCCATGGCAGGATGTTGCAAAATCCTTCCTTTGATGAAAATTTATCAGACTACATTCAGAAGGCAATATACTGGTTTAAATTTTAATGTTCATCAACAGTAAGCCTGATGAGGTAAATTTACCTAAATGAATATCATGATAGAAAAATCTAGCTCTATCATTAGAATGAAAGAGTTTTACTTCTGCACACAACATTAGTTTCAAATTATTATGAAGCTGTCAAGGCATGGTTAGATTTAATTGATAGATTTCTAGGGTTGGAAGGGACCTTGTAGATCATTGGGTCTGACCCCCTGCTCCAGACAGGAAAGAGTGTTGGGGTTAAGTAACCCCAGACAGATGCTTATCCAATCACTTCTTGAACACCTCCAAGGTAGGGGAAAGCATCACCTCCCTTGGAAGCCCATTCCATATTTTGGCAACCCTTGCCATAAAGAATTTCTTCCTTATGTCCAATCTAAATCTATTGTCCTTCAGTTTGCGTCCATTATTTCTGGTAACCCCGAGGGGCACCCTGGTTAACAGAGCTGACCTCCCCCTGGCGAGTGTACAGGCAGCCACAAGATCGCCTCTCAGCCTTTTCTTGCAGTGGCTGAACAGATTCAGGTTCGTCAGTCTGTCTTCGTAGGTTCTTAGCTGCAGGCCCTCAACTATACGAGTGTCCCTCCTCTGAACCCTTTTGGAATGTGGTGCCCAAAACTGGACACAGTACTCCATCTGCAGCCTCACCAATGCCACATAGAGGGGAATTATCACTTCTCTAGACCTGCTTGTGATGCACCTGCTGATGCAAGAAAGACTGCTGTTAGCTTTGCTTATTACCTCATTGCACTAGCGATTCACGTTCATTTTTGTATCCACCAGGACTCCAAGATCTCTTTCCACTGTTGTGCCACCATAGGCCACCATATCTCCAAACAGTTGCAAGAACAAATTTTATTCCCTATTCCCATCTACCCTGCAAACTGAAGAAATTGTGGCAGTTTTCAAATAGGTTTGTCCACTACCATTGGTCTACCTGATTAACTTCTTGCATGAATGCAGTTTATTGCCCTTTTCTATAGCAGAAGAACCAATGTAACATCTTTCATGGAATATCTTGAAGGCTAAAATGGGTTGTGAGCTGCGTTAAAGAAATATTTAAATTGGTCACCTACCTAGTTCCTTTCTTTAATGTATTATGTAAGTGAATATTAACTTTTTAGATGGAAAGACATAGGATCAACAGATTAACCTTGCATTTATAAAAGACTTTGCTTCTCTCTGTTACTCTGACAGAACAATAGAAAACTGTACACCTACAGGGCTTGCTAGGCTGTGGCTTTACTAGTGTTATTTAGGTTGGAGAAACCATATGTGACTGAAGAACAGAGAAGACAGAAACAGTTTGATCTTATTTTAATAAGGCTAGTGGTAAGCAAGTTTCCTTGAGTACATAAACATGTACAGACAGAATGATCTTATAGCCTTGGAATTGCCTTCATTCAGAAGTGGAGCTAATTGGTTATGCCAATAAAATATAATACCTATAAACAAGTTCTGTCTAGTATGTCTAAGCATAGTCTCTCCCTCCCTGCCCCCCATTTTAACACAGGTTACAGCCAAAGTTAAAGAAACCACTTATACAGAAGAACACTAGAAACTTTATTCCTGTCCTGGCACCAGGGACAGCCTTTAAAAGGATTTTGTAGGTGCAATAGTTGCAACATGGTGCTTCTTGAAGGAGCTCTCTGAGAAAAATCTAGGTCACTGAAACTTTATCTGAAAATGAAGCACAGAGGAGCCAAAATTGAAAATAAAGTACTGATATAGAATTTACTACTTCCTTCACAAGGACATTTTTTCTAGGCCACCTGGAGAAATCTGGGCACTTTTTAAAATTTTATTTTGATCAATTTAAAATCATTCCCATTCAAAAAAACACATTGAACCATTTATATGTATCACTCAAGCCCAGCTACTTGCAAATAGTTTTAAAAAGGATTACTATTGAAAAGCATAGACAGTTTGGACAAAATGGTGCATTGTTTTGTGTGTGTATGTATATATATGCATTTGTATTTGGTTTTTCTCCTTAACCAGAAAACTGGATACTTGCTTCATCTCTTCATCCCAGGAAAATTCTACAGCTTTTAGAGATATACTTCCAAATAAAGCTGTCAGATGATACTTTCCTAGGTGCATAAACTTTTACTAACTTATTAAGATTTGTTGGCTTTGATTATCACCATTACCATCTCCACTTATATCATAAAAAGATCTGCAATAATTTTGACTTCATAGATTTAGACTTGCAAAACATACCTCTCTTCTCTACCCCTCCACTTATTATTTGGGGTCAGCAGCAGACAAGAGTATTTCTTGAATTAAATACAATTGGTTTTACATGCTGCATCTTCAAAGTCCATTCTTTTAATCAGACGTTACTTCTAAACCCATTATTATTTTTTCCCTTTTCAAATGCTGCTTTTCCTATTGAACCTGGATTTCCACAAAGAAGCCAAGTTCTAACTTTACACTGGTTTTTTTTCTAGTGACAATTCCTTTTGCAAAAATGATTTTGGGTAATTAAGATTTCTACTGAAGATTGGTCTAGTCTTGTTTTTGTGGTATGAAAAGTGGAAAATTTTTGCAGGAGTTGCCAATTTTCCCTTCCCCCAGCTTTTGCCATGTATAATCGCATCTAAGAATAAAAAATTTTGCTGGCTGCTGAATATCAACAAACACAGACTGTACTTAAATGATTTTCTGTTCAACTGTTGCTCACACACAAATACACCAACAAGACAGACATTGATAAGACCCTCAATGCAACTTAAAATAAATAATTGGGTTTTATGGGTTTGTTGCCAGAGTACTCAAGGTTCTTCTTTCTACTCATCTGACTGCACACACAATAAAAAAATCAAATGATCCAAGATTTGTTACTGTACCAATTTGTACTGAAGTTCTGCCAACCTATACGCTCTATTAATTTCACTTTTTAAAGTATTATGAAATAAGGAGACTGTCAGCTTATTCCAGGCTATATTAGGACAGCTGGTTTTAAAGGCTAATTGAAAAAGACTTACCCTATCGTAGGAGTGTATAAATCCTGTCAAGATGTACACAAGACAATGTTCAGGTTTTTAGTGTGTTCCCCTCTAACAAAGAACATTCTCCCAATATAAACCAGCAGATATCTTCCTTATGAGGACTGGCATTAGAATGAGTTTATTACCTTTCCCAATGCACACTGCAGAGCATTGGTATGGACTGATGGAAAGTCACTTACAGCCTTGAAACCCTGCTTTAGAGAAATTAACCCACATTTCATCTAAACCAAGCCTGAAAATTGTTGCATTGAATGTTTTGACAGAGGTGTTAAGAATGCAGAACAGCTCTTCAGAATACAGGAAGAGCCTGAAAAGTCAGAGGTAACTTGCTGCCATATTTCTGGAGTGCCTGCCACATCAAAAAGGGTTTGGTCTGTAGACTCCAACTGTTGCTCACTCCAACACAGTTGCTGGCTGAAAAAAAAAACATTTGCTCCTCAAAGAGAATTCCAGTGGCACCCTGAAAGATTTTGGAAAGCCTCCAACATGGGTCACTCTCAAGGACTGTAAAGAAGCCGCCAACTTCTGCTTTATTGAAGTTTAAAACTGTCCCCCAAAACAAAATATGGACCTTCAGTTGTCATGTCAGTCCAGCTAGTGTTAAATTGGACAGACATGCAGACTCACACTCAGCATTTTATTTAAACACCTGTGTGTAGGAGTTACACAAAAAAGACAGTTCTAACATAAGCCCCAGGAAGAACTGAAAAAGCCTTTCAAAGCCCACCACCCTCCCAGATGCCAATATCTCTGCAACTAAATAGTACCTGCCATTTCTGTCACATGAAGCAGCTCAGCTGGCAGACATTTTCATGGAGATTGTGGGTGGGAGTGGAAGGAAGAGAGGTCATAGTTTCATCGTAGCTAGGGTCAGGAGGGACCTGGACAGATCATCTAACCAGACCCCCTCCCACAGGCAGGAATGAATGCTGGGTTCACAAGACCCCAGACAGGTGATTGCCTAACCTCTTTTTGAATTTGCCCAAGGTACGGGTGAGGACCACTTCCCTAGGAAGTTGGTTCCAGATTCTGGCCACCCTAACTGTAAAATATTGCCTCCTGATCTGTAACCTAAACCTAATCTCCATCAGCTTATTACCATTCTTCCTTGTCACCCCAGGTGGTGCTGGGAAGAATAGGGCTCTTCCTATTTGCTGATGATCTCCCCTGATGAGTTTGTAGGCAGCCACCAGATTCCCCCCCTCAGCCTCCTCTTGCCAAGGCTGAACAGGTCAAAGAGCACAGATAGGCTTGGAAGATAATTCAAGTTCATCTCTCACAGAAGAGTTCAGCAGATTGGGGGAGGAGGGGAAATGATTAGTCAGAGATGAGCAACTACAACTTCCCCTGGTTCTGAAGTCCACTGATGACAAAACAAGCCCTATTCACTTGCTCTTTCTGTCCCTCCAAGAGAACAGGAACATGGCGATGAAGGGTGTACTGAGGTCTACTCAAAGGCATCTACTGAATTGCCAATTGCTAATTGCACAGACATGCATGCATGCCTTTCAGATGGACATGCCAAGACCACTGTATTTAAAATTAAGCTATGCACAAGTACAACATTTTTAAATTTAACATTTAGTTACAATAGGCAAATACATTTATCAAACAGAAGTATGAAATATAGCTCTGGACTAACATATAACATGCTTCTGTGTGCCTTTCCCAAATACCTTTGACACTATGACCAAGTTGAAAGACTTCAGACATGTTGACGTAGATATATTAAAATGAATAGACTTGATAGAAAACTTTCATATGTTCATTTTATCCCTATCTTGGTGAAAACAAAATTTTGTGGGATACACTTCAACAAGAGAGCCAGGAGCTTTTTAGATCAGGAAGGGGGCTCAAGTCAAGTCACCACAGATGATGGGTTTTTTTCATAGAACAGGGGTGTCAAAGATCAACCCTAGGGGTTGGATGCAGCCCAGAGAGGTGCACTGTCCAGTCCATGGTGCTGGCCCTGGGTCTGAGTTGATCTATGGGCCGCACATGATGTGTGCACCCATTCTGGGCCACTCTGGGATCTGGGATACATACTGCACACAGTGCTTGTCCCAGCTCCACTGGGTTCCAGACTGGTTGGAGTGGGTGCTTGTGCAGCCCAAGGACTAGGGTACTGCATGCAGCAGCATGGATCCCTCCGTGACTGGAACAGGCACTGTCTGCGGTGGATCCAGCATGCAAGGAGGAGTGGGGGAGGGTGTCTGTGGGCCCAATCTGGCCCATGGACCAGCCCCTGTCCACTCATCTGGCCCAGGGACCATATGAGTTTGACACTCCTGTCATAGGGATTGTATTCAGATTAAGCATGCCAAACTTGTGCTAAAGGACAAGGGTTCCCGAAACTGGATCAGACTGCTCAGATTAATAAAAAAATTTAAAAGTAGCCTGAGACGTTATATTCCATTCATTTAAAGATTCCCTTCCTTCCACTCCTCACCCCCGCCCCCCCCCCCCCCCCCCCAAAAGAAACAAAA